AGGACTGTCAATTCTGACAAGAGCGGCTCACTCAAGCTCTATAGGAATTCGCAGGTTTGAGCAACTTGAGTCCTGTTAGTGTACTAACAAAAACCACCTAGTGGAAGTGCGAAGTTCCCCTGTCAAGTCGCCAGCGCCTGTAGTTCACCTTTGAGGACACTTGGTAAATCTCCGGACTTCCGCAAAACTACCCAACATTACGCATCTCATTTTTTACCCTTCCTGCATTGGTCCGCCCTTATATATCGAGGAAGGAATTGTTTCCTCCAAAGCAACTCCTTCCTAGGCATAGGTGTGAGAACCAGGGCAAAAATCATCTTTTCGGCTTAAAGCCTTTCCTTCTTGTTTTGTTTTCTCAAATGGACGTCACATACAAGCACAATTAGGTAAGACGTGGCGCGGAAATGAAGCCCGTGCTGTTCCCGTGGCCTTACAACGGTTTGCAGTTCTTTGAAATTAGCTCGGCGAATCACTTATTATTTAGTAGCTTTGCGTGGGTTCACACGTCTCCACAAAACGGCTTGGTATGATCCCAGAAATTACGAGAATCCCGCCTTTCCTTTGCCAAACTGCAGCGGGGCCTTTGCGTTGCAAGTTAGGTCATCGCTAAGAGGATAATATCATGAACTGAATCACCTGCAGGCCGTGCAGCACTCTATGCAGCTGAAGAAGATGGATTTCTCATGAGCTTTTTCCAGGTGCTATCGATGTGGTCGTGGTAGAGCAGCCGGATGGCGAGTTCAAATCCACTCCATTTCACGTAAGATTTGGGAAATATGGCGTCTTCAGTCATAGTGACAAGGTAATCTTTTTCTTTTTCATGTTATTTTATTTTTCGTTTTTTCTTACCTACGAGCTATGACGGTCAAATACACAGCAAGTAACGACGGGAGAATGTTTGATCCTCTAAAATGATGTCTTGATCAGGCCCCAGGGCGGTAGTGCGCGATATGCGGCTCCATTTGCCATAACACCAGTCTCGCTGATTCTGCAGCCGATTAGTTAGACCAGCTCTTCATATGTCCTAAAATTATTTTCTTTCACCCACAGTGATTGCAAGGTAGCGTTCAGACTTCGCGACTGCAGCGCCTCGGTCGCGCGTTCGACGCGATCAATGCAGTCGAAAACATGCGCATCGATCGCGTCGAAC